GCTCTTATAATCCTTTTAGTTGGAACTCATTTGTCAACTAACATGGTGACACCTTAGGAGCTACATTTGGTTGCTTACTTGTGTTTTTGAGAATTATTGTCTAATGACTGTCTCATAATATTTTGTGTTATGTTCCATGAATGTATCTTGATGTTGGCTACTACCAATAACATCTAAGAACATTGACTTTGATTTATTTAAATCATAATGCTTTTATTCATCAAGGGACTATAATTTGCCAAATATCATGACACTTAAGTATGTTATCTTGTTGACATTTCTTAAGTCTTTAAGTTCATGATTGATATCTTGTGAGGGTTTCATCATAACCCTATGATGTACAAGATCTCATTGCACTCTTACTTGAGCTTTATCAACTTCATTTGATTTAAGACAAGTATTATCCATCTTAGATGATTTTCTTCATCAACTAGGTGACTTTTCTTGTGTGAGAAGTTTCATCTTTTTACTTTGTTACTTTTGAACCTCATCATAATTTAAATTATAACACAAGTCACACCTGTCATAATTCTCAAATTATGATCTCTTTACTTCATCTTTACTTTTTCAACTAAACTTGCTAGTTTTGCCTCTTTAAATCACTTCTTTTGAATGTTATGTGTGCAGCTTTTCTTCTTTGATTGTGATACTTGAATATGTTATTTTATATGTTATTTTCTATTTACTTGTGTGTTTTAACACCATGTAACATTGTTCTCTTTTCATCTATCATTTTCTTCCTTCACTCTCCCTCTTAGGATTGTTTTTATGGTTTGATTATGATCTTCCCCTTTGCTAACCTATGTGTTTCTTTTGGTAATGATGTCTTAAGTTTGTATATGAGTCTTTAATGTGTGTTAGTTCTTTGTGTTTCTTCTAACTTCACCCTCACATGACACATAATTCCATGTCCACTTGATCACACACTTACTTCCATTTCATCTCACAAATTTGTTTGGACCTTGTTTGTATGCATTGGTGTTTGAACCATGTTTTCAATGATTAATATTCTAAGTGTATAACATGTTAATGTTTTTCTTATCTTCTTCAAATTACCTCTTTCATATGACATGATTTCTTGTGAGCATTACAAGAGGACTTAAGTCCATTTAGGATTCTTCAACCAACTTTTCTTGCATGTCTTGATTGTAAATATTTCTCAAGATTATGTATGTGATGATGATTTGTATGACATGTATTCAATTCTGACTTGTATATATCTTCTTCTCTTTCACTTCACTTCACCTCCTTATACCATGCTTGGTTAATCACTTGACACATAAATGCTCTTATGCTAGTGTACTTGTCTTAATGCTTTGTCTTATGACTTTTTAGATCTTTACCTCTCATTCATGACCCTTAAGAATGTATATACAGTTCTCATGCCTCTTAAATGTAATAGTGTTGCCTATCCATGATATATCACTTACTTGTATCACAAGTCTTGCCTTGTCACTTGTTTGAGTCTTATCTCTTTTTACCATGAATACTTTACTTGATTAGGTGATGTTTATCAACATGTAATACCTCAATAATAGTTTTTGATATATTAAACCATGTTTATACATAGGCATTCACATCCATCATTGTTTATTTGTGCTTCTACTTGTCTAGTTAGACAATTTCTTCACCTTCTTGACCCAAGATGTCATGCTTAGGGTAGTTTAAGGTATATAACATGTTAGGATCAGAACTAACACTTTACTTTGCTGTGATTTTATGCCGTACTCCATTGATTGCTTATCATTGCTTTATCTTTCTCCTTCCCCACTTCTTCAAGTTTGTTTGTAAAGTTTCATCTCTTGTATGCTTTATCACGTGAACTTTGTGTGTGCTTAATGTTTTATCATCTTTATGGTGTATTTCCATCTTTGTGATGTTTTACCATATTCTATCTTGATGTATTGTCATCTTTATGATGTGTTATCATCCCTTCTTTATGACTTGATGTTTTGTAATCCATACTTGATGTTTTATCATCCTTCTCTTTTCTTTGAAACTTAATATTTTGTCATTGTAATATGTGCATACTTTATTTTTATCATGTTTTGCTTGATGTTCTATCCTCTTTTGATCATCATTTTTATCTTGATGCATTTTCATCTTTGTATGTATTGCTATCTTTGTGATGTATTGTCATCTTTGTGATTTATTGCCATCTCTCTTTTATATCTTGATATTTTTCCATCTTTGTGTGATATTTTACCATCTCTCTTCTTCTTTGCTTGCTTCTCTTCTTGTATGATCCCTATAGGATCTACAATTTACTATTTTCTAAGTTTGAACTAAATAGACCATAGGATCTTTATTCATGCATGACAACATTAGGTAGATGCTTCCCTCTTATCCCAACTATAGGATCAACAGTGCATGATAACTTTAGGACTATTTTGCTAGTCTCCCTTAGACTTTTGCTCTCTTCTTTGACATTTGCATTAAAACTAAAACTTCTTATTTTTCTTTCAACTTATCAAAACACTTAATAATAATGATGTGAATCATGTGCCATGAGCCTTACTTGAGCCCTTTGGGTACGAGGCGTTTGGCTCAACCACCCAAAGTCTCTCATGTCATAGACTTTAATGTGGTTCAAATCACCAAATCCTTTTTCAAAGTAAAAAAACACAAACCAAGCAAAACTTTTTGTCTTCAGACTTTTCCTTTTAAAACCTTTTCATAAAGGACATGCTTCTCCAGCATCGTCTATAAAAAACACACAACAAACAAAAACTATTGAGTCGAACTACGTTGCTCTGATTCCTTAAGTGGTATAGGTAGGCATCTGGTCGAGGGGCTTAGCCGAGCGAAACTTTGTAAATATTTCCTTCTTTTCCCCGTGTTTTCTTTTGCATGCATTCCATCTTTACATTTTCCCTTTTAGAATTAGGTTGTAGACATAGATTAGATACACCCTTGGATTAGAACAAACTTAAATGGATCATGTGGAGTACCACGAACGTGAGGGATACTAACATCTTCCCCTCGCGTAACTGACTTCCTTACCCTTTTTCTCTTGGTCACGATGACCATACTCCTTTCCTTCCCTTGGGTTCACTCAGTGTTTCCTTTCCCTCTCCTAGGATAAATAACATTGATGGTGACTCTTCTGTCCTTTCGCCTCGATTTACGCTTCGATGGAAGTCCCAGACGCGACATGTTGGTATTATGTGATTTTTTTATCTTTCATACAAAAAATCAATGTTTCATCCTGGTTAGTGATTCGTTCACAAGGTTTTGCAACATCTTTTCAATAAAATCTTTAAGACTTACATATTTATTGCATTAGAATTATCATTCTCATAATAAACATTTTTTTTCTTGTAAAACAATTGCTTGATGTCAAGGAATTTTACATTTGAGTATCAGCAAAGGGCATGTTGCCGAGAAGCTGTTTGAGCAAAGAGTATACAACATTCAATCAATCTGAGGCAATTACGTTCAGATTCGAGAAATCTCTAGAAGCCTGTTGATCAGGAAAATTATCCTTAATGCATGCAGTCTATGGCAAGTTATGAAGGTTATCTTGATTAGCATAGTAAACTTGGGGCCCAAAATTTTCTTCCATGGGCATTCCAGATTTTGTCAAGATTGTTTGTATGTTCTCTCCCGAGCTAAGAATCTTTCTCAAGCAGAGTTGTTCTTGTGATCTGCCTCACAGATGTGTGCATGGTTTCCCCTATGGTTTTTGATAAGTTAGTGGGTTTCCTCCAACTTATTGTATGGTGTTGGGTTTGTGATCCCTTAATCCCCCAGTTAAGTCTTGGTTCAAATTTCTCCAGTTGAGTGGGATTATTTTCCAAACCAGGTTGTGACCAAGCAGATATTGCGAAGTTTTAAAGCTTTTGCTCAATTGTTGGATTTTTTCTCCCTTTTGTGTAGAAACTTGATAAAGTATCTCCTGCATGATATGATTCCTTCCAGTTATGATATTGTTGATGTTGTGTGCTCCCTAAGTAGCCAAGACAAGGGTAATATCTCTTTTAAGAAGTGTTGAGAAAACTGTCAACTGTTGGGTTTTCTCCCGTAGTGTGTTGAGTATGATTTAAAATCCCCATAAAATTGACTTCTTGTTGTGATGTTAACTTCTTAACTGCTCATGTAAACCAAGGGTGATGTTCCCTTTTAGTCTGTTATCCCCATGAACTTTTCTGTGGTAATCCCCGTGAAGTTTCTTTAAACGTCTCCAATAGATGTTTGTGTAATCACTATTCTCGGTATTGGAGAAGGTTTGTGGTCCCCCTTTAACGTATGTGGCATCATCTTTCCTAACAAAGTCAGTATGTTACTTCCCAGTGAAGTTTGGATGATGTTTGTTGTATCCTTGCAGCTTTATGGGTCATTACTATAGGATTGTGCTTTGATTATTTTTAAGTCATTTTTCCTTCCCAAAGAAGCTAAGCCTTGAAGTGAAGGAAAATTGCGATCAAACGCGCAGCGGAATTTAACTATTTATTTCTTGAAAGCTACTTTCTAAAATCAATTCTTTTGATTTCATAAATAGCATACTTTGTAGCTCAGTTATAATTAATAAATTTTATACATAATTGTTTTATTATTTACAAGATTCAATACAATTCATTAGTATTTTGTTGAATAATCAACGATGTTTCTATTTTCATTCATGAAATGTGAGAATCTCCACCAATATATATATATATATATATATATATATATATATATATATATATATATATATATATATATATATATATATATATATATATATATATATATATATATATATATATATATATATTGTTTAAAACATAAATTTACACAACACATAAACATAATTGCATAAACTCATAAATTCCACCTAAAATACACAAGACAACCAAAGCAGAGATGAAGATGAAGAAAAATGAAAGCGAGCATAGGAAAAATAATTATGAAAGCTATGAAAGCCACATATGTTGCAAGTGGAAAGACTTTTGAAGTAGGAGAAATAATCATCAAAGTGAGCAAAAGAAAAGACTTTTCGAATTCAAACACAGACAATTTCAGTAGCCAGCAACGGACTCAACTCGACCTGATTCCAAATCATGAGCTGAACTCCCAACATTCTCGTTCCCAGCTGGCCTTTCAAATAAATATTTTATGTTTTCTGGAATCATTTCATAGATCTCTTTTGGATACTTATTGCACAACACCTTCAAAGCAAAGACGAAGATCAACAAGCCCAAATAAATGAAAGCAACCATATGAGAAACAATCATCAAACCTATGAAAACAACAACAGTTCCAAGTAAAGGAGAAGTAACCATCATTAATGGTACTTGAAGCTGATACCAAGTGACAACCATCCAAACCATGTAGTAAAGAGTACACACTAATGCCAAAGCCTTAATTTGTTCGGTTATTTCCTTGCTTGTTGTAACCACTGATTTAATTTGAAATCCGATCATAGCAAACAATAGCCCAAAATATTGGCCAAATAGTATTCCAACCGCATTCAACCTGCAAAGGGTAGTGAAATGATAATTAATATATATTATAGGTTGTTTCCATGGACAAATGAAGCCAACAAGTAGTGAAAGTTTTAGTAGTAACCTTTCTGAATCTGATGAAGACGAACTTGCCGGTGTAGCTCCTGTCGCCATGCTTCTTTTACTCAGCTTCAATATTTCTTTGATTCAAATTTTAAAGGACATTTATAGAGTTTTAAGACTGTAAGTGCGTGGTATCGTCACAAATTTTTGGACCAAACAAAATGGCAACCAATCATAATTTTTTAATTAATTAAAATAAAAATTATATATTTTTGTAGAGAAAATCACAACCACTTCTAAGTTTTATTTATTTATTATAATTTCAAAATTTCAGATTAAAACGGAATTCCATCCATGGCAACAAATGACCTACTAAAATGTGTGGGTCGGCACATTTCCTAAAGCCGTGTTCATACACATTTCCTATCCGGGGTCGGCACATGTTCGTCTTCTAAAGCGGAATTCCATGCATGGCAACAAATAGATGTACAAACCAATAATTTATAAAAACCAATATTAAATGTTGCAAACTGGTTTTTAAATCTATACGTAGTATCTAGAATTAAATTTGTTTTAAACGTGTTGTTCTAATAATAGTATCTAGAATTAAATTTGTTTCTTTTGTTAATTTTCAAACAAAAAAAAATTTCTTTCTAATGTATTTTAATAGTGATTTTATGATCTTTATAAATATGACAAATATGAGGATAAATTCTTCTCAACACTAAGGAATTAATACAATATTGACGATTGTATTCGATATGAATATTTGACTTAACATTAATGAAGAGAAATGAAAAGTATACATGCAATTTAGTTTGCTTGAGAAGTAAGTAACTTATCTTTAAGTAACAAACTTTAACAAACCATATTAACCCTATCCAACAAAGCTAACTGAAAATAATATATCTTAATATCAAATGAGAAAGGATTATCTGATTTTATTTTTGCCAGATAATTTTCAAGAGCAAATTTTTTTTTTAAGTGAGTGAGAGTTGAAACACTTCAAAAATAATTAGATTATTTATTTAATTATTTAATTATTTAATTAACTTATGATGAGTATTTATGATGTATTTGTGAGTATATGTAATGTTTTGAGGAATCTGATGTGTGACGTAATGTTATGTGTGGTATAGTAGAAATTAAGTGATATTGAGTGTTTTAATAATTTTAGATGATTAGAGTAATTATTTAGAATTATTTTAATTAGTGAAATAGAAATAATATATTGTGTAGAAATAATAAGGGTACGGTAGTAATTGGTGAAGTGATTAGTGAGGGTAAGACGGGAAGACCATAGAAATGGTCCAAGGGTTAAATAAGAAAAAGTGAGTCTCAGTGTTTCATTATGTGCAATCGTGAAAGTTGGGAAGAAACGATGAATGAGAGCTAGGGCACGGGAACTCAAAGGAATTTTGTAGAACACGATAAGGAAAGATCATTGCTAGGAAAATCTAAGGTATGAGGGTTGTCCTTATTATTATTATTATTATTATTATTATTATTATTATTATTGATATAGGGTTTAGAGGTATGTAGGTTGTTTGGGGTTTTATGATAAACTTGATAACATGATGATTGAGATGAAATAGATGATGTAATTGGTGATAGATTGATATTGTAATGATATGAAATGATGTATATGATGCCTACTATGATGTGTTGTTATTATGCTGTGAAACCATGATGAATTGTATGACTTTTTGACTGAATGAGTGATGAAGTTGTAAAGAATTTGGACTGGTTCTGTGTAGAAAACACAACAACAAAGTTTTTGTTTTCGCGCCCTCACCAGGTGAGCTTCCCAAGTCATCGGGCGAAGCATCTTCGCCCAGACTTCGCTGGGCGAGAGACAGGAGAGAGAGGATTTTGATAGGTCATGGAAAATATATGGAGAAGGTGACTCTCTCCAACTTCGTTGGGCGAAGCAGAGGCGAGCATGAGCTCACGGGGCAAACGGAGAGGTCGTCAGACGAAATAGATGATGGAAAAACAGTGCTCTCAAAAATTTTATATGGGGGGGAGGCTTTTTTCCCTAGCCTCGTCGAGCGAGCCTCGGGCGAGCAAACTGCTTCGCCGGGCGAGTCTCAGGCGAGGGGCATCAGACAAGATTTTTAAAGTATCATAACTTGAGTTTCAGGATTCCTTTTAATGCGGCGTTCAAAGCGTTAGGAAGCTAACGCGACGCACTATAATTTTGTGTGGTATGATGAACCATATTATGTATTTTCCAATACTAATTCTTTTATGAAATGGAAGATTCAATGAATGATTTATTTATGATGTATGTATAAATGATGAATTGATGTTGCTATGATGATGCTATGTTGTATTATGAAGTAATTGATGTTCTTATGATGAAAAAAGTTTATGATTGCATGTTTGATGTGCATACATGTCGTGTAAGGATAATTATATGAATGATTATGTGTTTTGACTAACAATGGTCAAGTTTTTATTATGTTGTTGCGCATCATGCATTCATGGCATATGTTAGGGCGTTAGCCCAGTGATGTTAGGATGTTGGTCTAGTGACGATTATTAAGACGTTAGTTCAGTGACGGGCTTAACCCAATGGTGTGGATCGAGTGCATTTTTATGAAGTGCTCCGGTTCCAAGCAGGAATCGATCATATGGTGGGGATCTTTGGAGAAAGATGACTTGGTCATCAGTGAAGTTTTGGTACCACATGCATGAGTCAATGATGTTGTATTGTATTATATGTGACATTGCACAATAATTGATTAAGTGATGTTGATGATATTGTGATCTCATTGGTGTTTGATGATAGATGTTGATGTGATGATGTAATGATATAATTGATTTGTGTTGATGATGCAAAGAGTGAGTATAATATATGATGTATGATGATATGTATAATACATGATGATTTGTTCTTGTATTACTATATGTATTCCATATATCTTTTATAATAATTTGTGATTACTCACCCTTTCTACTTGGAAATGTTACCTCTATACGTGGATAACTTGCAAGTAAATAGGAATAGTTCGTTGAATCTTAGAGGATAGCTTTGGAATGCGTTATTTACTTCCTGTTGAATAAAGTGGGTCTTTCTATGATATGTAACATCGGGGTTGTGATCGTTTGATTGGAATTATTATGTTCTTTTAGTTATCCTGAGATTATGAACTACCTTTCATAGTATTTAAGTTATTTCAATCATGAATTATTAACGATGAATTTTGATGAAGCATCTATGAAGTATTTTAATAAGAGTGTTTCGAAATTGTGAACTCCGTTGTGAGTAGTTGAAGTGTCATTGTTGCTATTAATGATGTATTTTCTATAATATTTTGAAAACCCGTGTTATGGAGCAAGATGTTTTTTATGATGTTTATATGAAGATGTGACACCCTTCTTGGTGGTTTTATTTGAATTATTTTCGTAAATTATACATGAATTATATGTTCATTTAGAATGGTATTACATTAGTGGTATCAGAGCAGGTCGGTTTGTCCGACTAGGTTTTCCTATGATGTGCATGTCCTGTCAGTTGATTAGTGTGAGTACACCTTCGCTATGTTGTTTTCTGATGTTAGTTTTCCTATGTTTAGAATGGCTAGAAGAAATGATGATGCGATTGTTGCTGCTTTGCAGGTTGTTGCTCAGGTTGTGCAACATCAGCTTAATACTGGCGGGGATGATGGGTCACGTGTCTTAGAAATGTTTCAGAAGAACCCTCTGCCTACTTTCATTGGTAGGTACGACCTTGATGGAGCGCAGACTTGGCTCAAAGAAATTGAAAGGATCTTTCGGGTAATGCATTATTCAGAGGCACAAAAGGTGCAATTTGGTACGCATATGCTGGCAGAGGAAGACGATGAATGGTGGGTCGGCACCCGTTAGAGATTGAATTCGGTGGGTGAAGTCGTTACTTGGGCTGTGTTCAACATGGAGTTTCTCAACAAGTACTTTCCCGAGCATGTGCGCAGGAAGAAAGAGATTGAGTATCTAGAGTTGAAACAAGGGAATTTGAATGTGACTTAGTATGCTTCGAGGTTTGTGGAACTTGCAAAATAGTATCCGCATTATAGTGAAGCGACTACTGAATTCTTGAAGTGTATCAAGTTTGAGAATGGGTTACGTCTGAAAATCAAGTGTGCAATTTGATATCAGCAGGTCCGTAGGTTTCCAAAGTTGGTGAACAACTGTAGAATCTATGAATAAGATATCAAAGCTCATTTGGCTCACTATAAGAGTGTGAACGAGAAGAGAGAAAAACAACATCAAGACCGTAGAAAGCCTTATAATGATCCAGCAGATAAAAGGAAACATAAGGTTTCTGATGGGAAAAAGATAAGTTGAAGAGGAGCTCCTGCTTCTGTCAAGTGTTATAGGTGTGGTGAACAAGGTCACCTTCTAATGAATGTGAGAATAAGGTTTTGAGATGTTACAAATATGGTAAGACGGATCATCGTGCTCCTGAGTGCAAAAACAATGGTCCGACTGGTTTTAACTACGGAGAGAAGGTCATATCAGTACCCAGTGTCAGAAGCCAAAGAATAATAATGTTACTGCTCAGACCAACTTTAAAGTGTTCACTCTGAGTGGATCATAGGATTTTAAGAAGGATTACTTGATTCGATACAGTTTCATTATCCTCAAGCTTTTTCTTATTGGATAAGATTTATTTAATAAATTTAGTATAAGAGGGCATTTGTGTGATAGCTTTTGTAAAAAGTATGGTAATGTTAAGTTGTTTCAGAAGTTCAATGAATTTCTTGAATTGCCCTACATTCTTAGACTTAGAAAATCTTTGAGGATATAGGAAAGGTGGTTTATAGGGTGGAGGAGGAACATAAGGTACTTCTTTTTCCATGACCTCTTCACCGTCACCTTCTTTTTCTACTTCGTTTGGCCTAACTTCCTTCTCAGTTCCTTTTCCACATTTCTGGTACATTGTTGGGTTATCAATTCTAGGTTTAGTTGGTCCGCCTAGTTCTGTTCCACTCAGAAGTGTTGTGGCATTACCATGTCCTTTTGGATTTGGTTGGGGTTGTCCAAGAAAAGTTCCATCTGGAGTAGCTGTAGCTGCTTTCTGTTGAGCCACTTGGGAGATTTGTGTTTCTAACATTTTGTTGTGT